AGGTTGGATGGGGCTTGGAGCAACCTGGGCTGGTGGGAGGTGTCCCTGCCCATGGCAGAGGTTGGCACTGGTTGATCTTCAGGGTCCCTTCCATCCCAAACCATTCTGTGATGCCATGATGATCTGGGCAGTGGCCCCAGCTGCTTGGCTTTCCCAGCTGGAGAGCAGCCCCCAGGCTGGGGAGGAGCCCCCCCCCCAGCACTGCCAGCCCACACAGCTGAGCCCACCAGGGGACACATCTCATTCTGGTTTAAAAAAAACACAATTTAGGTCACCCTCAAGCCAACCTTCTACTCTGGAGAGCCCCGAGGTGTCTGCTCCCTGCATTGCTACTGCCCTCTGCAGAACACCAGCAGGAACATGTGGCTCTGGGGGTACCACAGCCCCCCACGCTGGCCCCAGAGCCCCCTCACCTGGGAAGAGCATGGTGGTCAGCAGCTCTGGGGACTCCAACAAGCTGCTGATGGCCTGCTGGAAAGTCTTGCTGCAGCTGGACTGCAAGTGGCTGTAAAACAGGGTGCAGGGTGAGAGGGGGTGCAGGGCAAGAGGGGGTGCAGGGTAAGAGGGGGTGCAGGGTCTGCACCCTGTGGGTGCCTCGTGGCTGTAGGCTAGGATCCCTGCCACACAGTGGGGACAGGGCTGCTTCCACACCACCCACAGCAGGACAGTCCCCCCTGCCCTGCTCCCCAAAGCCTTGCTGAGGGTGTTCACCCCCTTCCTCTACCAGCAGCCCCAGGGACACTGAGCTGAGCAAGGAGGGAGAGCAGCAGGGTCCTGGTGGAGCCCTGAGAGGGAAACCCTTTCAGCCCCCCCCCCACAGAGCACCCAGCCCCACTCAAGGAAAGTCTCCAACCTTCTCCACGAAGTCACATCCTGCCAGAACTCATAAAGGATGAAGCAGGCCTCATCTGTCAGCTTGCAGGCAGACACACTGTGGGGACAAGAGCATGACAATGAGCCAAAGCCTGGCAGCTGCCCCAGAGCAGCCACATCAGTCCCACCAGGCCTGGCAGTGAGGGGCACAGGTCTGCAGGTGAGCCCCACCACGAGGCTTTCAGAGCAGGCTGGATGCCAGCACGTGGCTCCAGGGGATCCTGAATCTGAACCCTCCCTGCTTTGCAGTTCCTGCAGCCAGGCAGCAGAGCTTCACAGCTATTCAACTGGTCCTTGCTGCTGCCCAGATACCAGCATGGGAAGTGGTTTATTATTTCCCAGCATATCCCCAGCACTGCAGCTCATCCTTCCAGCCCTGTGGAAGGTGTGTAGCATCCCTTGCCCTTCACACCAAGAGAAACTGAGGTACGAGTGCAAGGAGCCGAGATGACAGCCTAAAACAACCCAAAGTGATGATGTTTCATCAGGCAATGCTTCTCACACTCCCTCCTGCTGGAGGAACTGGCTGGAGCCTTCTCCACTCCAGGGGAAGACAGAGGGAGAAGCAAGGCTCAGGGTGTGGGGCCTGAGGAGCCATCTGCACTCAGCTGCAGCAGCAGGGATTCCAGCTGAGGTTGAACATTTCCTCCAGCTGCTGCTGAGGGCTGGAGGAAGGGACCAAGCCCTGGGGGGAGAGCAAAGCAAGTCACCCAGCAGGGAGGAGGCTGTGTCCCCTGTGCAGGGGCACAAGGCACTGTGTAATTCCCTGGTGTGAATCAGGGCAGTGGAATCTCCCTGGGCTTTGCTCCAGCTTTCCACTCACGTGGAGAGCCTGCCCATGCAACACTACCCAGTTGTCTCCTCTCTTGACAGAAAAGCCCATCAATTTGAAAGAAAATGGATACCATTCTCTCTGCCACACGTGTCAAAACAAGGATCTTCCTTTTGTTTGGACTGAAAACGCAATTTTGTGCCGTTGGAACTCGAGAGCTGGAAAATGACCCTTTAAAATAGGAACAGCACGAATGCAGCTTGAAATCTGCTGTGGGAAAAGGGAAGTGCCTCTTGAAGAGCAGCTGTGCCATCTCCAGGGACATGCTGGCAGTGGCCTGACACTGACCTGAGACTTGGGCTCTGCTGGAAGCTGGGAGCAGTGCTGGGGAGCAGAGCCTTGAGGAGGGGGTGAGCTTCAGGTGTTCATGGCTGCTCCCCCCAGCACTGCTCACACCTCAACCACAGCAATGCTCTGAGACAAGCTGTCCCCTTGGCTTGTCCCCTGTTAATTTAAGGTCCTTTCAGTGCTGGAGGAATGTGCACTCACATGCAGAGGTCAGAGCCGTTCCTGCTGGCATAAAAACCACCCCCCCTCCTTGCCCCACGCTGAGAAGAGGTTCCTGCTGGGAGCACCCCCAGCAGGAGATGGGACCACACTGCAGGGACACACTGCAGCCTGACACTCTGCAAGGTCAAACGCTCTGCATGCTGAGCCCACCCTCACCCTGACCAGCACACAAAATACTCCACAAAACACCCTTCTGTCCCCCAAAAGTGCCCTCTGGGAGCACGGATGAGCCCCCACAGCCCACACTTACTGCAGGCAGCAGCTCTGCCCGGCCGTGCCCTCCGTGTAGGACCTGAGCGCCTGGCGGAACTTCTCGATGCTGCCCGTGGCCACTGAGATCTGCCTCTTGGCCACCAGGATGTGCTGCAAAGGGACAGCCACAAGGGACATCAGGGACTCCCTTTTTTTTAGCAGGAATTCCAGCTGAGGTTGAACATTTCCTCCAGCTGCTGCTGAGGGCTGGAGGAAGGGACCAAGCCCTGGGGGGAGAGCAAAGCAAGTCACCCAGCAGGGAGGAGGCTGTGTCCCCTGTGCAGGGGCACAAGGCACTGTGTAATTCCCTGGTGTGAATCAGGGCAGTGGAATCTCCCTGGGCTTTGCTCCAGCTTTCCACTCACGTGGAGAGCCTGCCCATGCAACACTACCCAGTTGTCTCCTCTCTTGACAGAAAAGCCCATCAATTTGAAAGAAAATGGATACCATTCTCTCTGCCACACGTGTCAAAACAAGGATCTTCCTTTTGTTTGGACTGAAAACGCAATTTTGTGCCGTTGGAACTCGAGAGCTGGAAAATGACCCTTTAAAATAGGAACAGCACGAATGCAGTTTGAAATCTGCTGTGGGAAAAGGGAAGTGCCTCTTGAAGAGCAGCTGTGCCATCTCCAGGGACATGCTGGCAGTGGCCTGACACTGACCTGAGACTTGGGCTCTGCTGGAAGCTGGGAGCAGTGCTGGGGAGCAGAGCCTTGAGGAGGGGGTGAGCTTCAGGTGTTCATGGCTGCTCCCCCCAGCACTGCTCACACCTCAACCACAGCAATGCTCTGAGACAAGCTGTCCCCTTGGCTTGTCCCCTGTTAATTTAAGGTCCTTTCAGTGCTGGAGGAATGTGCACTCACATGCAGAGGTCAGAGCCGTTCCTGCTGGCATAAAAACCACCCCCCCTCCTTGCCCCACGCTGAGAAGAGGTTCCTGCTGGGAGCACCCCCAGCAGGAGATGGGACCACACTGCAGGGACACACTGCAGCCTGACACTCTGCAAGGTCAAACGCTCTGCATGCTGAGCCCACCCTCACCCTGACCAGCACACAAAATACTCCACAAAACACCCTTCTGTCCCCCAAAAGTGCCCTCTGGGAGCACGGATGAGCCCCCACAGCCCACACTTACTGCAGGCAGCAGCTCTGCCCGGCCGTGCCCTCCGTGTAGGACCTGAGCGCCTGGCGGAACTTCTCGATGCTGCCCGTGGCCACTGAGATCTGCCTCTTGGCCACCAGGATGTGCTGCAAAGGGACAGCCACAAGGGACATCAGGGACTCGCCTGTCCCCTCCCTGCTCCCACCCTGCTGCAGCATAAGGCAGTGCAAGCACAGCACTGTAGGGGAAGCCAAAAGAAGGGGCTGGCACCGCAGCGCTGGGGACAACGCCAACATCAAGTGGCTTCTTCCCACCGGGGCAGGTTGCCTTTTGCAGGAAGGACTGCACCAACAGGAGATGCTCCAGCCCCTGGTGGCAGGGTCCTGCTGTGGGGCTGCTGCAGTTCTCTGTGTCCTTCTCCCCCAAGAAAGAGGGTTCAGAACCCCTGCACTAGGAGTCTGCAGAGTCTGTGGGCACTCGGAGCAAGCCCGAGGGACTTGGGCACTCCCAGGTGGAGCACTGCCTGCCTCTGGCCTGGCCATGGGCACTGCCTGGGGCTTCTGTGGACCTGATGGAGCTGCACTGGTCCTGTGGATGGTCCCTGACCCCACTCACAGCTCTGCCTCCCACCCTGCTGCACAGCAGGGCAGCACAACCCCCGCCAGACCAAAGCCAGGAGCTCAGCCCAGTGACACCAGTCTCAGGGCACTGGGGTGGAGTGGAGCTGTGCACTCCACAGAGATACCTGCAGACAACAAGCAGCAGGACAGGGACTTACTTCATCTCTTCCTTTGCACATCTCCTCCTCCTTCAGTGGCTCCAGGCGTGGGCTCTGCATTTAACACCACAGGAAAAGTCATTGTTACTGGGAAAACTGTGCAACAAGATAAAACGTGACAGCAACCCACAGCACAGCCCAGAGTGACAAGGGAACTGCTCTGGGGATGTTCCTGAGGGTATCTGGGGGAGAATGGGGATGTGACCTGCACATCTGTGGGGCTCAGTGGGTCCAGACTGACTTGTTAGGTCAGCACAGACCATGGAGAAAGCCCAGGGAGGAAGGAAGGGGGCTCTGGAGACAGCAGGGGATGAGCAGCTTTGCCAGGCTGGGTCTGGTGAATGGGTGCAGCTCTGTCATGATGCCAGGACCAGGATCGAGGGCCAGTGGCACAGGGAGAGGTCCCAGCACCATCCTGGCTGGTGTGGTGGAGCAGGGCAGCCCCCAGCCCACCTCCCCTCGGCCACACACCTTGCACTCCAGTTTCTCGATGAGCTGCTGGAGCTGATTGATCTGTGCCATCCACTGGCTGTTGTCTTGGACACAAACACCTGCACAGGCAAGGGCAGAGATATGTCACCAAAAAAAGCTTATTTTTGTCATTGCAAAACCTTGCCCAAGAGCCAGAAAACCACTTGAGCTTGTTTTACCTCTGGTTTAAAACAAAAAAGAAAAGACTTGTTTTTCTCCTGAAACTTCTCCCACTGCTCAGGAGATACAACATCCCGCTCAGCTGGCACTGGGTGTGATGGTCCAGGCTCTGTCCCAGACAAGCCCCTGATGTCCTGTGCTGCTGCTCCCACACCCACTCCAGACTCCAGTGGGGCAGACACACCATCCCAAGGGATGGCCAGGCTGCAGATACCTGTAGTGAGCATCCCAGAATAAGGGTCCGTTGGAGACAGACGGATGTTCTTCTGCCCCCTGCGTCCGCATCGTCTCCCTGACCTCAGGCCAACCGAGGTCTCAGATTTCTGCACCTCCTTTCTGTAGGAGCAAAATGCAAAAAAAGAGGGGTTGAAGCCATTCTCTGGATGGGTCAGCTTCACAGCAGGCTTGGAAAGGGCAGGTCCTGCTCCCAGATGTCCCTCCCAGGGGAACCCAGGAGCGCTGGTGGGGACAGGACCAGCACCCCTCTCCCTTCACCTCTCCAGTCCCGCCTGCTCCTCCACGGTGTCCACAGCACACTCCAGCGAGGCCTGCAGGGACTGCAGCTGGTGCATGGTCTCCCGCAGCAGGAAACGGGTCAGGAACTGCTCCATCTTCGAGGAAGTCTCGTACCTCTGCAGGGAAAAGACAGGATCTGTCAGATGCCTCCAGCTCAGCGCGAGGAGGGGGAGGGAGGGGGAGCTGCATCCGGAAGGGGCTGGACCTTCAGTAAACCCAACGGGGTGGATCCAATTGAGGGCTTCATGCCCCCTCTTCCTGGGGAGACAGCACCAACCATCTCTGCTCTGATGGGATTTGATCCCTGATGAATTGGTGACATGTGCTTGGGGCCACCCCACTGCCCATCCCCATGTCACCCGCTGAGCACAAGTGACCCCAGCACAAGCCCTGGCCCACCTGGCCTGTGGCACTGGAGGGGTGCCCAGCAAGAACAGGGGGGCTGGGTGCCCTCTCAGTGTCCTGCTCCCTGTGCCACGTGCACACCAGGGGGGTTAGTGCTGGGGCATGTCCTGGCAAGAAGGCAAGCTGGCCTGGAGGGACCCAAAGAGTGGGTTAGGATGCACACCATGCCCAGGGGCACGTCTGAGAAGCACAGAGAGCCAGAGAAGTGCCTGGACACACACAGATACCTCAAACTCCTTCAAAACTCTGCCCAGCTCGGGACAGAGCTGATGTGAGGACCAGCTCCTGTGCTGCTGCAGGGCTGCAAAGTCAATTCAAACACTGTAACCTGCTTTTCATTTACACTCAGGGTTATTTCTGTGCCTATCCACCACCACTCCATCAGCATGTGTCCAACCAGGCTGGCAACAAACACTCATCCTGGCTCCTGCTGTGAATTCCAGCCATGCTGAGTGTCTGGGGACAGCTGGTGGGCAGGGGAGCCCTGCTGGAGCACTGCAGCAAAGCTGCCCTCTGAACACTGCCTGCAGCTGCCTGCACCAGCAGGCAGGAAAGCTCCTTCCAGCAGGCAGTGGAGTAGGATGCCCAAGGTCCACAGGGAGCCACAGGGGTGGCAGGAACAAGCTGAGGAGGAGAAGGTCCACAAAGTGCCTGCACTGCAGCAGCTCTGCTAGGGGAGGGGGGTTGCACCAAAGAAGCTCAGCCCTGGGTACAGAGAATGAGCTGGTGGAAACCAGGGAGCTGAATCTGCTCTTTGTAATGTTGGTATAGAAGTCATTTGGTGCTTGAGGGAGACAATTCAGCTCAGTGAACAGGTGGAAAAGAACTCATCTGGCTTTGCTGCTGGTTTAGTGAACTGACTCAGCTCAGCAGACGGTTAAAGAAGGATCAGAGGCTGCAGGGGGGAAGCAGCTGGGAAGCCCAGCTGTCACAGCAGGGTCCCTTCCCCATGGCTCAAGGGACACAGACATCACTGTGAGCATTCAGAGAGAACTGGCAGTGGGAGGTCAAGGAAGGAGTCTCCACATGATGCAGAAGGGCTGGTTGCTCCACAGGAGCATCCACCAGGAGAAGTCAACCCCTTTCTTTGACAAGACCAAGAAGACAGACTGGACCAGTCACCTCTGCCTTCCCCGTGGTGTCCTCACATGCCACCAATGCACAGACCAGGAGCCAGGCTGCCTTCACAGCCCTGAGCACCACAAACTCCCTCTTTCATGTCCAGAGTCCAGCAATGCTACCACATCACTCAGGCCAAATATTTCCAATTCCTACTGTGTTTCTCTCTAACACACAGAACTGAGGATCCCAAATTGCAGAAGCCCTGCTCAAAAGCACATGGACATGACCCTTCCAATGCTGGTGTCACAGATCTGTTGCGGATGGGGGGGGCTGCAGGGACATGTGGGGTTTCTGTCCCTCTGTGCCACAGTCGAGTCACCAACCCAGTTCCAGAGCTGTGTCAGTGTGAGGGGAAGGCAAATGGAGAGGATGCTGATCCACTAAGCACTGCCCTGGGCTCGTGCTGGAGCAGGTGATCACCCCATGTCAGCAGATGGAGTTTCATGGTAGGAGCAGGCAGCTGCTGCCACTGACACTACCTCCTGGCTGTGGGGGGCACATCCAGCCTGCCCCGAGCCCCACAGCTCACCCCAGACATGCAGACACAGACACCAGCCTGGACTGCCACCCCCCAAAACCCAACCACCACCCTGTGCTTGGGGGGAGGACTTGGATCTGAAGCTGGTCATGCAGAGAGCTCCCCATCCTCCCAGCCCCAGCCCAGCTCACAACGGACAACAGGATCCCACAGGGATCCCCAGGGATGCACATCAGTATTTTGGGTGAGCACTGCACACCCCAAGCCAGCTGCCTCCTCTCTCTTGCCTCATCAAACACAGCACACCCTGGGAAATGCACCAGGGAGAAGGCTGGAAATAACTCTCTCTCAGGAGAGCCCCAAAAGCTGTTCCACCCTTCTGCATCAGCTTGAAGAAGTTCATGCCAGGGCAGGCAGTCAACGGAAAAACACACTTTCCCTTCAGTTCAGCTGCACAGCCCCCTTTTTACTCCTCATCTTGGGGCAAAGAAGCAAAACCCTCTCATCAGTGCTGCAGAACAGAGTTCCAACCCTCTGTGAGCAGAGGCTCAGTATGCATGGGCTCTGTCTCACAGCATTTCCTGCTCATGGCACAGACTCAGGGAAAGGAGCCATGGAAGAAACAACTCAGCAAACACAAGACAAGGATTTTTGGTCACAGACTGGTCCCTCGGCTCCACTGACCCAGGTGAAAATCCCAAAGTTGCCAAGAGCTGCTGTAATTCTGCTTTTGAGAGGTTTTATCAGGATGACTCTGCAGAGCTGACAGCAGGACCAGCGTCCCTCTGCTTCTGTCTGACCAGCAGCTCAGTGAACAGTGTGCACATGGATGATGCTCTTCATCCACTTTCTACCAAGCATCCAAGGTACAGGGGGAAAGGAAGGGCTGCCCCTTCCCAGGGCTGTAAAACAGCATCAGCCCCAAGTACATAACTAAACCACTTAATACACTTCAGATGTAAAGGGAGCTGCTGCTCCCCAAGAAGGGTCCCTTCCAGTGCTGCCCACTGCCTTCTTGCTGCTGTGTTTAGCCCTCAATGCTGTGCACTCTAGACTCTGCTCTCCAACACAGAGGCAATGGGGCGCACAAAGCAGGAGGCTGCTTGTCCTAATTAGCAGCTTCCAATCTGCCTCTCATCAGTACAAGCTGCAGGGAGAGCACTTGCCACAGGGATGAGCTCAGCACCAGGCTGGGAGTCAATGAATTCCACCACTTCCTATCTCCTCCCAAGCACCTTGCTGCTCCCCACAGCAGCTTTCCTGCCGCGGTGGCTCCTGCCCCAACAGCCCAATGGTGTTGCTGAGCACAAGCTGTTGGGTCAGCCCAGAGCTCTGGCTCAGCTCTGGAGTCCCCATTTCCCTCTGCAGTGCTTTGGGGAAAAGACCTTGCTCTGGCTCAGATACAACACAGTAACAGCATCCCCAGGCAGGACCCTGCAAGTGGTCTGCAAGGAGCTGTTGAAACAACCACAGCCAGAGCCCTATGAGGAAGGCATCTTCAGAGCACCAAAGCTCTACCCTTCTCCTGCAGCAGCATGGCTCCCTCTCCTCCAGGCACTCTGCAGGCTGTGCTGCTGCAGCACTCACTGCACATGGAGACAACCAAAGCCTAATGTGGGAGGTCCCACAGCTGCTGCCTCTTGACACCCAAGGGTAACATTGAGCCAGCAGCTGAGATCCCCACGGCCTCTCGTACCCGTCCACCCTCCTGTGGTCCCATCCTTACCAGCTTGGTCTTGTCCATGGCTGCCAGGACTGCAGAGTTGAGGGCTTCCAGGGCAGAAAGCACATTCCTGTATTCTCCCAGATATGCTGAGAAATAATCTAAAGCAGGAGAGAAGACCATGGTGAGATTCCTGAGTGTCTCCATCTCTGCCTGCCCTGCATTCACATCCCCCTCCAGAGTCATGCTCCCACCTGAACTCAGATTAAGTCCTTTCCTATCCCCAGGGAGAGCATCCCACCCCCTTGGGAAAAGCACAAATGCCCTCTGTGCTGGGACTGTAAATGCCACTTGACTGCCTAGCTCAGACATGCACAAAGCCCCAGCACAGCCTCTCAAGAGGGGAGCCCCCCAGGGCAGGACCAGCACTCTACTTACCACACAGTTTCTCTGTATCCACGTTACTGCAAGAAACAGAAAAACAAGCTTGTTAGATGATGGGGCTGGATTTAGGACAAACGTTTGCTGTGAGCAGGCGGTTGGGGGCTTTGTCGTGAGCCCCCAGTGGATTTACTGTTCCTCCCACGTATTTCCAAAAGCTGTATTAGAAAAGAAAAAGAGCTGCCAGCAGCTCAGGAGCCATGCCCAGCACCTGCAGCTCCAGGCAGGACTGCAGGGCATCACCTCTGCATCAGAGGCTGAAGGAACAAGCAAAGCTGCTCCACCAACACCTCCTGGAGCTGAAGTGTGTTGGGAAAGTGTCTGTGAGCAGGATGGGCTGGGACAAGGACCAGGGGAGGCAGACAGCACCTTGAGCCCCTGGGCTAGCCAGCTGGATGGGCAGTCCCACTTCCAAGCCCTGGAGCTGATGAGCCCCAGGAGGTGCTTCTTCAACCCAACCTTTTCCCCCACAGGTGCTAAGCATCCAGCCAGGGCTCCCCCTTTGTGTCTCCCTTGGCCTCAGCCCAGGTCCCTCCTCGTGGCTGCCCCACAGCCCCAGCCCCACTCCTCTCCCACCTGCCCCATGGGTGCCCTGCCTGCTTCTCTTCTTCCTGCCTTCAGAGCCTGGGTGATGTGGGGCTGCCAGGGCAGGGGCTCAATGGCTTCACACCCCACCAGAGGGGCTGTTCCTGCTAGGAAGGCCATTGAAGAAGGGATCTGGGTCCAAAAACCTGGAGGTAGGGCTATTCCCTCAACCCTTGCAATAACAGAGAATCATGCCTGCATCCCTGCAGGGTTTGGACAGGCCCCTCCTGTTGCTAATAAAGGTGCTGCTGGGGTGGAGGGGGAGGAGGGAACATCCAGAAACAGCCACGTATTTTTGGGACAGGATGTCAAACAGAACTGTGGGTTCACATGAAGCTTTGGGATCCTTCCAGGTGACCAAAGCCACAGAGGCAGAGCTTCTTGCCATGCCCAGCACCATCTGCAGAGCATGCAAGGATATACCCCACAGTATCATTTATTCAAATCAGCCTCCAATCAAGATTCTGTTGTCTCAAAATCCCCTAAATTATTACAACCATTTTTAATCCTGATTGGAAAAGTGGAAGAGGGCATGAAAGACAGTTTTGTAAGTGTTTAAGTGCTGTCACACATGGAAGAACTGGTAATACCTGAAGTTTGTTGGGCTCCAAACACAAGGATGGCTGCAGTGACACTGCCCAGTCAAACCAGGGCTGCACAGCCCTGAACTGGTCTGACACCACTCACAGGGCAAAGGGGCACAAACACCCTAAGGGGCAATTAGAGCAGAGTGCTGGGTGTCCAAATTGTCATGCCAGGAACAGCTGTAATAATGTGAGCAAAAATCTTCCTACAGCTTTTCCTCAAAACATCAAAGGCTGGTTTCTGTCTCTTTCTGCTGGGCTTCCACTCAGGGTACTTTAATAACAGTCAGTGCTTCAAATGATGAAAATATTTTGGTGTCATCACAGACCCATGGCAGGGGGGCTGCTGATCCCTCTGTTTAGGTAATTCCATCAGGCACCTACTCAAGCAAGGGAGACTGGCAGGTTTAGGATGTGATTTGACTCATCTATTTTAAACACCTACTGCAGGAGCTGATGAAGGGCTCTGGTGCACTGTCCTGGCACTGCAGAGCGTTTTTTAAGTGGATTTAAAAAAAGAGTCTTTCCCTTGAGAGGCAATACAGAAAATCAGCAAAACCACAGCCCCTTCTGCCAACTCCTGTCCATCAAACTTTGCTGATCCCCTCTCTGAGCAGCCCTATGCACCCAACCCCAGCTCTGCTACCCAGTGTGACTAGGTTTTGCAGCACAAATTTAAATTAGAAAAATTTAAACTTGCTCATTCTGAGTTTTTCCACTTATTTCTGAACGCTGCCTGGAGCCTGCAGAGCCACTGCTGCTGCACTGCCACAGAGACCTGGCACTGCAGCACTGCTTGTTAGACCCGTGCCCCAGAGTATTAACTGCAGCCACTGGTTGCCATCCAAGAAATGGGTAAAAAAATCACACAAGTTGGGATATAAACATGAGATAACAAAATACACAGTCAAACACTTCCTGCATATGTTACCTGGACATTTCCATCTGTCTCCAGTGAGAATCTGGGACTGGTTTCACCAGGAAGAAGGGGCCACGAGCTCAGCACACAGCCCAGAGAGCTGGGCATCTGTGTGACAGAGCTACCACCAACCCTGTGGCTAAGGAGAGGCCAGGGATTATTAATAACTCTCTCTATCTTGTCTGGTTGCTGCCTAAACACAATGGTAACTAATCAATCACTAACACAACAAAGAGTTGAGGACTGAACTAATCAGCAAGATCTTGTGGCAAAACTGAGCCCCCTGGGAGTTATCTGGTGGAAGATCTGCTCCCTTCCCACCACAGCCTGCTCCATCAGCAACCTGCATGGTCACCTCTTCCCATGCTCCACATCCCCCAGGGTGCAGAGAGGGGCAGGACAGAGCACAGGACTGATGCTGCCATTTCCATGCTACCAGAAGCTACTTCATACCAGAAACCAGGAGGAGGTAACGTAAAGAACCTGCACATCAAATCCTGGCCCATTTTGCAGGTCTGCAGTGGGGCAGCAGGATTGCTCTGCTCCTGTCTCGGCCACCCCCTCTCCCACTCCAAGAGAAGAGCCATCCTCTGCCTCCAAATCACTCATGCTGAGACTCTCCACATTTCCACATAGCTGTATTTTGACTGTGCTCAAACCACTGATTAACTGTAATTAAGCTTCAACTGATGATGAAGGATCTTGTCATCATTATGCTGTTAGGATTCTGTCAGAATACGTCTGGAATTATGGAAGAAAACAGCAATCAGCTTCAGCAAAGCAGATGGGAATTTTTTTATTTCTATCATTTATCACGTTGGGAACCTCTGCTGCCATCACAGATCTGGTTTCCAAACCTTTCCAGTGTGACCCTGAGTGTTTCAGTCACTCTCCATCATTCACAGACAGGCAGATGCTACAGCTCAGAGTCTCTGATTAAGAGGAGAGGGAAGTTCACATGAGTCCCTCCTACAGAACCTGAGGCTTGAGGTTATTTGCACAGAGGGTTTTTAAAAGCCACCAGGTCAGCACTCCCACCTCTTCTGCCTCAAGGTCAGAGACACAGGCTTGGGACAGTCTGTACTAGTTCTTGCCACCACCCTCTGACCACTCTCAGTCAAAGGAAGATCTGCCAAACCTTATTTGTCCAAATTTTCCCTACAGATGCAGGACATAAAGACACATGAGGTCCATACAACATCTCCCTGGGCAGGTTGCACAGTCCTCTGCAAAGAGCACCACAAGGTTCAGCCCAAAGCCCTTTGCAAGGTGTTTTAAGTCCACCAAGTTATCCCTGTGAAACCCTGGGATCTGCTGCCATCCTGCCTGGCTGGGCTGAGGACAGAGGGATGCTCAGAGAGCAAAACCACACAGTGCAGCTCCCAAGTCACTTCTGCAGCAATGGAGATTTCTCACCCCTTCAAACACACTTCTCTTCTCACACTGACATTCCAGTGGATGAAAATACCTTTCCAGAGAGGTGAATCTTTCTGCCCTGCATCCCTGGCAGAGCTGGTGTGGAGCTTTCTAACAAGCTCAAAGAAACAGAGGAGTGAGCTGTTGTACCAAACTGCAACGAGGAGTTGAATTTGGTTTCAACAGGTTGTTTTAAAAGTCAAAGAATCAGAGCGAGGAGCTATTTTAAAGCCAAAATGGAACAGTTTTCAGAAATGCTGAACAAAAAAAGCTACAGGACATGGAAGAAGCACAGCAGGTATGGTTATAAAGCTTGTAGTTGCCTTCCAGCTTTGTAATTCTTTGAGTTATTACCTTGGATAATAACTCTTGAATCTGGCAGCACATTTCAGCCAGCACATTTCAGCCAGCTCACATATTAAGCTTTTTCCTTGATATTCCTCATTTTTCCTCAACATTCCTCATTTTTCCTCAACAATTACTAAGGTCCTGTAAGTACAAGGCACGCAGGCAGGCAGGAGGAGAGGCTGTCCAGTCTCCCTGCTGAGGGGACAGCAGAGCAGCAGCACAGTCCTTACAGACACCAGAGGTTGTACAAAGGAGCAAGTCCCCCTCCACACTCCAAAACCAAATACCAGGAAGTCCAGCTCTACACACAGAGCAACAGAGGCCTCTGTGAGACCCAGTACACTGAACACTGTTTGATTTCTGCACGTGCTGCTGTGTAGGCAGCAAGCAGTCCCTGGGGACACATGAGGCCATGTCTCCCTGGGGACAGGCTTTTCTCTCCAATTCCCTCCTCCCAGAAGGCACATGGCTCTAGGTCAGGATCAGGGTGCCCAGGTAGACACAGAGCTGCTTCACATTCTCTGCAGGGCCAGGATGCCTCTTACCAGACAATAAGCTGAGTTCCAGGCTCCCTCTCCAGGAGGTCCCAGCTCCTCCTCCTCCGGGAGCTGGGGATGAAGCTGGAGAAATCACTTCCAGCTCCCTGCTGCTACCTCCTGCATCTCACCCTGCTCCTGCCTGCTCACACTGAAGCTGTCCCACACACTGACCCTGCACATGGACCATGTCCCAGCCAGGGGCAAAAACAAGACCTGCACCACCTGCAATGGCCTCGGAGCTGGATTTCCCCTTCTGCTCCTGCAGAAATGAGGGCATCCTCACAGGGCTGGAGGGATGGCATCTCCTATGTTTGCTCCAAGTCACTGAACACGGGAATTTTGAAGCCAGCTCTGTCCACAGGGTCCCTCTGCTCTTCATGGCAGAAAGAGATCAAAGCCCCAACAGTCATGCTGTGCTAATGGATGTCACCAGCTCAGTGCTGCAACTGCCACGTTGTCATAGCTACCTCACTGGCAATACAGGTAATGAGTTATGGAGAACACCACCACAGCCAGGGCCATGCAGAGCTCTCAGAGACAGCCCAGGGCCTTCTGGTTAGCCCTGTTTATCTGCTCCTCACAGACAGAAAAAGCCCAGCCTGAAAACAAAGGTACACCAGGAGATCTTCATGTTCAGTTAAGGACACAGATAAAACTCTCTGCTCTGCTCCACCCCATGTTTTCCAGCACTACTCTATGGAGGAGTGACTCCAGGTCACCCCAAAATGGAGCAAGAGGAAAGGAGCATTTCCAAAAGAAAGGGAATGACTCACTGCTGACTGCCTGGGATCATAGCCCAAGAAGACAGGTATTTTCAGGAGACATCTGCTGCCCACATCCAACAAGCCCAACTGGCAAGCCAGGCAGCAACAGGCAAGAAAAGCAGACCCAGGGACTGCACACATCAGCCCACTTCTCTGTCCCAGCACAAAAGCAGGGACATCACCTAAACCCTGACGCTTGGCAAGAGTCAACCACCCCCATTCTCCCAGACCTGAGTGGATGACAAGAGGATTTGCAGCCAGGGACCATTGGGTACCTGCCCTCAGTGGCTGCTGGTATTTTGGTGTGGCACAGAACCTCTATGCCTCTGCCCTGGGTACCTGCAAAGCCCTGGGACCAGCATGTGCAGCTGAGGCTGCTCTGAGTTACTACTCCCTGGCAAGACCTGCTTGGCCACTGCCGTGGCCCAGGACATCAGAGGTGCAGAAGACACTTCCTGGGGTGCCAGGGAAGTGGCACCAGCCAGAGATGAGCCTGCTGCCCAAGACCCAGTTGAGACAAACAGACTCCTCTAGATAGCACCAGTCAAGAGGAGATGAGGGCTAAGTGCAATTACTTCTGTTCTTTGGGAGTTTCTTTTTTTAAAAGTAGCTGGCCTAAATTCACAGTTACATTCAGAGTGCCCACTTCTGGTGGAGAACAGCTCTTGCATAAGTGAAAAGCAGTTCCTTGTGTCAGCAGTGGCAGCCTGTGACTTTGCACAGTCTGTGCATCGTCCTCACACCACCACATGCTCCTCCTGCAGACACACAACCTGCTCTGTAGAGCTGCATATTTCTGGAATACATTTTTCAAGCTAACATAACCTAATTGGAAATGGGTGCTCGCTTGTAGGGAACCACAGTCAACCCGGTAACGACTATTCTCAAAATGTCTGGCTTCTCTCACCACCAAAGCTCATGGCTGGTGTTCCATGGGTTTTAACATCTGCGTGTCACAAGAGGTAGGCTTATCTCACCCTGACTATTTATTGCACCCGCCTCCAAATGTCCTCCATCTACAGCAGAGCAGTTTGACATCCTCCTTCGTCTCCTTTCTGTGCCACCACGTTACTTACTCTGAATGACGCCTGTCAATGCCACTGAACAACTCCCACAGCTCCTCCGAGCTCAGGATCCCATCAGCAAAATAGTTCTTGAACTCCTCAAATGACAGCTTCCCATCATCTGCATTTAAATAAAAGGGAAGAATAATTATATATCTGCAAAAAGAAGCGCACAAGCCCCAGCGATCCTCCCAGCAGCTTCTCCACCGGGAGCGTGGGACGGTTGGGCATGTTGTGCATAATAATGAGAGCAGATATCTCGTGGAAAGCAAGTCCCACCAGTCCCCATCAAAAGCCCAGGAGTGCTGGCAAGCAGGGACACTGCTGCTGGAACTTCAGGTGGGAATTTCAACCCCTTCCAAAGACCCCACTGCAATGCTGTGAGAGATGCCTGCAGACACTCGTGCTTTGATGGATGTCCAAGCACAGTGCCTGTTACAAACAGTAAGGACAGTACCAGGCTTCCAGGGAGAGAAAATCTCCACTGACTCAAGAGCTTTTTGCTTCCTCTCTGTGGAGGACTTCAGCTCCTGGGTTGCATTTTGATTTGTAACAAAAGTGGCTCCTGAAGCCTGCAATCTACCATGGAGAAGAGCCCAAGAGGATGCAGAAAGGCTCAGACAAACAAATTATGATTTTGGACTTCTTGGTTTATGGGTCTTGAATTAAAAAGCACGTAGCAGAGCCTAACTCTCAAACCAGGGGCTCCAACGGGGACACAGGAACAGAGCCACTCAAACAAGGGCACGTGAAAACCCCAGACTGAGCACAGAGACTGAATCAGTCTCGCAAGTGACAGTGAAAAGAGTCTGCTGCCCCCTGGGCTGTTGCTGCTCAGCTTGGTTTGCCTTCCCACCTCACTGCTGACAGTGCAGCAGAGACCCTGTGTGTGAGGGAAGGAGGAGGGCTCAGAAGAGGCTCTGTCCTGCATGGTGCATGGATGGTGAACTGGGGAGCCCACCTCCCCATCCCCTGGCCAAGCTCCTTGCTCCAGTGTCTATTCCTCCAGGTCAAGCAGAAAAACATTTTTCTTGCAGGTAAAAAGCTTCTTGCCCTTTTCATGTTCCTTCACTCTTTCAGCCAAACCTCCCAGCTGGGCTGCACTGCTTTGCCCAGACCCAGGCAGGGAGGGTGGAGGCAGAAGCAGGAACAAAGCACTCACCGTTCTTGTCGGCTCGCCGGAAAATCTGCAAGACAGAAAACATGACAGGGTTTAGTGAGGCAGCAAGGAGAGCAGACGTGGCACTGCCACCACAGGAAAACCACCTCCCAAAGCCCAGAGAGTCCGAGAAGTCGTGTCCCCCCCCCCAGCCAGGGCTGCACAGGCTGTTCTGGAGAAATTCTCCTTTAAAACAGTTAAAACAATTTCTTGTCTCCAATGTGCAAAGGTCTCAGCACAGCCGCTGCCACCCGACCAAGCCCAGCACTCACACCAAGCCTCTTTCAGAGACCACAGAGGGAGATGGAGTAGAAAGGGCTTTGCTACATCCTTGTGATGGAAGGTGTTTAATTTTTCAGACCCTTTAAATGAAAGAACATTAAGCTTAAAACCACTCCATAATGGGAGAACTTTGTGTATCACCACTGACACTTCAACTATCTGCACCAAGCTTTTGTCCTGCACTTTGCAATCACCCTCCACAACAATCCTTCCTGCAACATCTCAACATGCACACACACTGTAACTAATAATTAATGGATTCATTAATTGGTAACTAACTCCACCACAGAGCACAGCTGGAGAGCTGCTCCAATTCAGGGTCTCAAGTCAGGTTCCCAACCACGGGGCTTCTACCTGTGGACCAGGAAAAAAGCTCCTTATTCCTGCCTGGCTCCTCTTTCACTAACAATTACCAGAAGACTCCAGTGAGGACCAGCATCATTTCCAAAACCTGGGAACATCTTCCCAGAACAAACAGCACAAGATTTTCACCAGCACATCCTAACAGAGACAAGTTGTGTGTGTGGCAACTTTCTTATTTCTAATCATGCTTTTTAATCATCCTGGTTGATGAAGAAATCTGAAGGGTCTGGAGAAAGATCAGGAATGAGAAAATGCAGGAAAAGGGGAAAGCAGATTTTGCTACAGTCTTTTCCATGCACCTGCAAAGAGGAGACTGCTGATAAAGCCACCCCCAGACTAGCTCTATGCCCTGCTGCAGGAAAAGCTGTGCTGCCAGCTGCCCCCCCAGCACCGCTCACCCACAGCCTTGCTGCATCTTCTGAGGGCACAGGCCCTTCTCCAGCCACAGAAACAGCCCTGAAAAATCACTCTGAGGAGAGGAAACAACTACCCAGAGAAACCTGCACTGCTCACTCCTGAGGAAGCTGCTGGCTTGCAACTGGGTGGAGGCTTTTCTGAGGCTGGTTCCAGCAGGGAGCTCCCTGGTCCTTCCCTGTGGCTGAAATTAGGAACAGAAACACCTGCTCAGAGGATGCTCTTCTGAGCAAGGCAGGGTCCCCCTGAATTGCTTCAGGGAACAAAAGCTACCCCAAGCCAACCAGCCTCAGGTAACCATCCCTGTGAGTTTCCAGCTGGCCAGGCTGCTTCCCCTGCAGGCCAGCATGGCAGGCACTCTCTGAATGCCCTGTAGGACCCGTTGGATGCACTTTGGAGCTTCACCACCACCAGCTGAGACAGGAACCTGCAGCTCCCACATGCTGGGGATTTCTCTGGGTTTTAAAGCAAGAATTTCTCCAGGCTTTAAAAGGGCTTGCTTGTGCATCAGGGGTGTCCTGGCTGCAGGGGCAGCTCTGCCTGCAGGCAGGGGCAGCAGCAGAGGGTCCCACCTGCCTGTAGCACCCTGCCATCTCCCTGCCTCGGGAATGCTGCTTTCCATCAAGGAAAAAGCTTAATCCTGCAGAGCTCACTGTCACTGGAGGGACACATGGTTCATGCAACGATATCTCTAGGATTCCAAATGTCACTGAGGCCAGGTCACTCATCCCAAAGTCAGTCAAGTGTCACCCAGGCACTTAAGAAATGCAGATTCAAGGCAGGTCAAACATTTCCCACTCCCAGGCTGGCCTCGCTCAGCAGGGTCTGTCTGCAGGCTGGGAGGGAGAGCACAATTTCAGAGGGGATCCCACGGGGCTGAGCAGGTTCTTTATCTGGCACGAACCCATCCTGGATTCAGCATGAAACTCAGCAGAGCTGATGCTTCTCCCTCACACACAGGCTGCCCTGCTCCTGCCATGCACACACAGTAGCTGCCTGGAGCTCCAAGCAAATCCATGAGGCACAAGCAGCGGAGCTGCGAGAAGCCAGAGAGGTGAGGCCAGGTCTGCCCCACATTCCCAGGGATGGTGGGGCTCCTGGCTGCCTCCAGCCAGCCTGTCCTCGACCTGCAGAGGGGGGCCTCGGTGAGCACCACACGAGGGAAAACACAGATGGCTCCTGTGCACGAGGCAGGATCCAACTCCAGCCAAGCAAAACCAGCACAGAGCCGCTTTCATAGGATGATCCCTGCCTGCCCATGGTACATAAGTGCTGCTCCTGGAGCAAAACCCCTGGGACAAAGTCAGGGAAAAGCGATGCAAAGCCAGGCTGGGAATGGGATCAGATGTCTGCTGGCTGCTGGAGGGGCCCTATAGAGAACCCCTCACTTGCACTCGGGGGGCAGTGGCAGTCTCAGAAACACAGGGACGCTGCTTCAAGCCCAAGACGTTTCCCTCAGTCCCCACCTCCTGGGCTTGAGTCCAAGGAGCTGCAGCAGACACGATGGAACTGATGGTGGAAGCACTGAACCAGCATTTATTTGGGGATGAACCTCCCCACACCCTGGGAAGGAGGGATGCTCTGGGGCTTCTCCCTGCCTGCAGGGCTAGAAGCAACTGCTGCAGTAGGACATGCAGCCAGGGACACACCCACTGTTGGGAGGGGACAGCCACCCCAGGAACACTGTGCTCGATGATCCACTGCAGGCAGCTGGCCAAGTGGCTTTTCTGGACCTCTGTCACACTAAGAGGGCAGTAAGCAAACCCCGGGGCTCCAGCCTGTGGGAGAAATCCCCCAGAAGCTTGAGATTTCTGCACAGCTGCGGCAGCAACGCTGCAGTTGGTACCGCGCCTGCAGCAAAGCATGTCAGGCAAAGCCCTTCTCCTCCTCACCCCTCCTGAAGGCGACCAGTCTGTGGGCAGGGGAACTGCTCGGGTCCCAGAAGAAGCACCAGCTGACACCTGGGATCTGCTGCGGGCAGCCCTAGCTTCCCACTGCCCGAGGGGCAGGGTGGGATCCTGCCCCACTGCGGTGGGGGCAACTCAGCCTGACAAGCCTGGGGAGCAGCTGCAAGACAGCCAAATGCCCTGACCCAAAGCAGAGACACCAAACTCACCCTGCCAAGCTCCAGAGATGAGGCGGGAGCAAAGGGAGCCACGAGAAAGAGGAAAGGAAGCCACCAGAACCCGGAAAGCAGCTGCTACTACCAGTGTTTTAACACTTCCCATTTTAATTGCCTTAATGATACCCTGAGGGTAGATGTGGGACTTAGGGAGTGCCTGGAGGACACTGGGATGGAACACAGCTGTCACCACCAACCCCCCTTCAGCCCATCTTTCATCAGCCAAGTAATTAGTGCCATTAATGACACTGGCTGGAGAGCCCTGAAGCCTGAAATCCCCCCACTGCAGGAGAGAGACCCTGACCCTCGGCTGGAAGCTACAAGCACCACTGCAGCCAAGGGAGCTGCACTTTCCAGCTGCTCCCTGGTGATGCCAGGATGTCTCCCAGGCAGAGGACCAGACCAGGCATGGCATTCAGCTTCCTGAAGTGCTGCCTGAGATACGCAGCTCCCCTTCTCTAAGATGAACTGGGACACACGGGCATGGCATCAGCCAGACAAGGACAGGACAGAGATGACATCTGGCAACATCCTGGGCTGTCCAAGTCCAGGGTGCCACAGCAGCCCTCACCTTAACCCTTCCCAGTCCCCATGACAGGGCAGGGGCAGCACCTCCATGTACAAGTCTCCTTAGCTCCATGGGGTGACTCAGACCCCAGCGGTGCCAAAGCCAGGAGGAATGCAAGGGCTGGTGGCCCACCAGGGACATTTGGGCACTGCTCACCCAACCCAGGCATCCTGCAGCTCACAAGACAGCCAGAGGGTGGAGCAGCTCCGATGAGCTCCGGCACTGCAGGTGGGCTCTGACCCAGCCTGTGCCACTGGCCCAGGCACACAGGCTGCCCGGTGCTGCCCCCCCAGGGCACGCAGCCCTTGTCCCGGGGCGCCAGGGGACAGCAGGCACCGTGACCTGTCTCATCAAAACGAAGACACTACCGATGATGCCACTACCTGCATCTCCACAGCAAGACACCCACCAGCTGCTGGGATGCCCAGCGACCCCCAACCCGCACAAAGGAGCCTTTTCCTCCCAAGCTGCTGGCGGGAGCGGGCAGGGCTGGGGGTTGCAGAGCAGCAGACACGCTCTGCCTGCGGGATCCACGGCTTTCCAGCCACACGGAACCTTCTGCAGCTGTCCTGACACACACACAGACACAGACACGCGCACACACACAGACACACGCACAGACACAGACACACGCACAGACACGCACAGACACGCACACGCACAGACACGCACAGACACACGCACAGACACACGCACAGACACGCACAGACACAGACACGCACAGACAGACAGACAGACACACACACACACA